ACTAATCTTCCCTCACAGCACCCAAACCAGAGAAGGCTCTTTAATTTTCATTTGACCAACGTTGGTGTGTCTAAATTCTGGGAAAATCCAAAACAGCAACCCGTTGCAGACACTGACTTTATTCTAGAGGGGTATAACACAAGCAATCATCACACAAATGCAGATCTTCATCAGTGATCAATGCACATATGGCAACAATCAAGTCTGGTCTGAGGGGAAAATAAGGGAAAGTTTTTGTTGACCTTATAAAAAAACCTTCAAACATTGGGAGCCTTCACTTGTAGTAAAAATTTTCTGCAAGTATGGAGGCGGTACCATTGTTTGTGGTAAGGAAAATTTAATTAAATCTGACACCTGTGATCAACATCAGATTTATTATTGGGAAGGAAAACCCTCCCTATTTATTTATTCTTGTGAACTACTGGTAGACATGCATTATTAAAAAAAATTATTTTTGCATGGCCTTGGTATTATTACTACTTGGGTGATGTAATTGTTTGTATATCGACAACATCAAATGTATTGAATAAGTATCATGAATATTTAATGGATGCAGATATTCACAGAAGGAAAGGATTAAATAACAACAAAATATATAATTAATTAGATTTAAAGATTATTATCTTATTCCACTTTTTTATGATATATTAATTATGATATATTCTTGTAAGATCTGGCGGTGTACGATCAGAAAGAATTGTCACGCGGCCATATTTTATTATTCTTAGAAAAAAGGTAGAAAATTCAACATCAAAAATTCTAGTTAACATAATAATAAAAGATCTTTATTATCTTGCGATCTGCAAAATCCTCAGTAATAACCTCTTTTTTAGCTCTCATTTACTTTTTGAAAAAAGAATCTTGATCATTATTAAAAATACAAGCCTTTATTATCTATTTCTTTAAGTTATAACATAATATTTTGTGTTGTTACAAGTAGTATATATAAAGATGTCAATTAAAATTATGTAGCTCGTCTAGAAACGAAGTTTGGAAAGTCATTAAGCGGAATCGAATAACTTTGTTTAGAAATTTATTTGATAGTTCTTTCGAAATGTTTGACATTATAGCTTTTTAAAATTTGTTGCATAGAATTGGGTTTGGAAGAAATGAACTAAATAATACTTTTTGATGTGGATTAACTTAGTTACTACAAAAGAACATAATTTAAGTAATTTTTTAAGTCAATTTATTTTTTTACTTTGTAATATAGCATATTAGAGCATACTCCTGGATTTCATCTACTTTTAGTATTTTTTGACGAAGTTGATAGAGCTTTTTACAATAAAATGTCTTGTAAGATCTGGCGGTGTACGATCAGAAAGAATTGTCACGCGGCCATATTTTATTATTCTTAGAAAAAAGGTAGAAAATTCAACATCAAAAATTCTAGTTAACATAATAATAAAAGATCTTTATTATCTTGCGATCTGCAAAATCCTCAGTAATAACCTCTTTTTTAGCTCTCATTTACTTTTTGAAAAAAGAATCTTGATCATTATTAAAAATACAAGCCTTTATTATCTATTTCTTTAAGTTATAACATAATATTTTGTGTTGTTACAAGTAGTATATATAAAGATGTCAATTAAAATTATGTAGCTCGTCTAGAAACGAAGTTTGGAAAGTCATTAAGCGGAATCGAATAACTTTGTTTAGAAATTTATTTGATAGTTCTTTCGAAATGTTTGACATTATAGCTTTTTAAAATTTGTTGCATAGAATTGGGTTTGGAAGAAATGAACTAAATAATACTTTTTGATGTGGATTAACTTAGTTACTACAAAAGAACATAATTTAAGTAATTTTTTAAGTCAATTTATTTTTTTACTTTGTAATATAGCATATTAGAGCATACTCCTGGATTTCATCTACTTTTAGTATTTTTTGACGAAGTTGATAGAGCTTTTTACAATAAAATGTACGCATGTAAATTTATTGTAATTATTATATTTCAGAATTTATACATACTAATAGATTAACTTATCCTATAATACACTTATAGATTCATCGTTATCTTAGGTGACAAATAAATATTAGAAAGAGCGTATATGTGTCAATAGGAATTATCAGCAAGTTAGTATTATTATGCTTGGTTTTATTATTATATTTTCCATTTCATCTAACATATAAAACTTTTAATTTATTGTTATTGGCTAGTTATAGGGCTTTATAGGATATTATAATTAAAAATATACAAGTTGATTGTAATTAAATTACAAGAAAAAAAAAGTTCTTTTTTGGTTCATAGATAATAAAACCATCTTTTTGATTAAGCACTTCTTATAGTAAATGTGAAAAAAAATTTTCAAATTAAATCAAAAATATAGCAAAGTATATTTGAACATTTAAATAATACAAATGCATTATTTTTCTCTTTGAATACTATGTACATCTTAACCACTCTGTTCATACCTACGTTTAGTTCCACAACACACTATACTTGTTAAACGGAAACGAGATTGTTCGAATATCTTCAACTGATCTTAAAAAATTGCTACTTCACACATAATCCACATAAGCAAGCAACATATTACATCTAAAGATGAATATACTTTATATTTTTATATTAATAACCAGAAATCTAAAGAAGATAGCAAGTTGAGGTTTGTATATTTCAATAAATACATCAAGAATATTTTAATGAACAATATGTGTTATATTCTATCAAATGGTGTCTTCCACAGAGATTCCATAAATTTTTTAACAGAAACGATAGAAGTGAACTTTAAATGCAGTTTGATAGGTTGCGCCGTTAAGTTCAATCTAATAATTTAAAAATTTTTATTTAAATATTCGGATATGTTTGAATTCCATTATATTTTAATTTATTTTCACTGTAATTGCTTTTATATTTCTGTAAGGTGTGAAGGACTAAAATAATAATAAAATCAAAGTTTCTCTTTGTTACCAGTCTTGAATAATTGGTAAGCTGAAGTTTCCACAAAAGTTTGATGTGAGTTATTAAGGCCGGAATAGATACAAAGGAAATGATTTAATTATTGTTAATGATAACATTATTATTAAAAAATATAGAAAATTTATTGTAATTATTATATTTCAGAATTTATACATACTAATAGATTAACTTATCCTATAATACACTTATAGATTCATCGTTATCTTAGGTGACAAATAAATATTAGAAAGAGCGTATATGTGTCAATAGGAATTATCAGCAAGTTAGTATTATTATGCTTGGTTTTATTATTATATTTTCCATTTCATCTAACATATAAAACTTTTAATTTATTGTTATTGGCTAGTTATAGGGCTTTATAGGATATTATAATTAAAAATATACAAGTTGATTGTAATTAAATTACAAGAAAAAAAAAGTTCTTTTTTGGTTCATAGATAATAAAACCATCTTTTTGATTAAGCACTTCTTATAGTAAATGTGAAAAAAAATTTTCAAATTAAATCAAAAATATAGCAAAGTATATTTGAACATTTAAATAATACAAATGCATTATTTTTCTCTTTGAATACTATGTACATCTTAACCACTCTGTTCATACCTACGTTTAGTTCCACAACACACTATACTTGTTAAACGGAAACGAGATTGTTCGAATATCTTCAACTGATCTTAAAAAATTGCTACTTCACACATAATCCACATAAGCAAGCAACATATTACATCTAAAGATGAATATACTTTATATTTTTATATTAATAACCAGAAATCTAAAGAAGATAGCAAGTTGAGGTTTGTATATTTCAATAAATACATCAAGAATATTTTAATGAACAATATGTGTTATATTCTATCAAATGGTGTCTTCCACAGAGATTCCATAAATTTTTTAACAGAAACGATAGAAGTGAACTTTAAATGCAGTTTGATAGGTTGCGCCGTTAAGTTCAATCTAATAATTTAAAAATTTTTATTTAAATATTCGGATATGTTTGAATTCCATTATATTTTAATTTATTTTCACTGTAATTGCTTTTATATTTCTGTAAGGTGTGAAGGACTAAAATAATAATAAAATCAAAGTTTCTCTTTGTTACCAGTCTTGAATAATTGGTAAGCTGAAGTTTCCACAAAAGTTTGATGTGAGTTATTAAGGCCGGAATAGATACAAAGGAAATGATTTAATTATTGTTAATGATAACATTATTATTAAAAAATATAGATCATATTATTTCCTTACATTGTTATCTTAATTAACAAATTCATTATGATCATTTTCAAATCGTTTAGAAAATTCGATGATAGCTTTTCTAATTATCATTTGAATTATCATCATTAGGCAACAGCCTGTGTTCACTACAATATATTACGCTAACATTCATTTTGTTATCTTTATCTCGACAATTTCACAAAATATCAAATGTATGCGTATAATTGTTTTGAGTTTTCTTCTGAAAAGTGTACTAAGGAAAATAAAGATTAAGTCCAACTACTATCATCAACATAGATGTAAAAAGAAACTTAACTAAAAATTTAGACTTATAACTGAAATTATGAGGATGCCTCTTCCTATTTTAACTACTTGGTTTGAGCTGGCATAATCCAATTGCTATAATCATTGAGTTAGATGTATAAATAAGTGTTTTTGGTGACGTGAACTTTGCTCCACAATTGACTTGCTTATTATGTATATGATATTATAAGAATATAAATAGGTTCAAATATATAATCTCTTTATCTGTCTTTAGCATCATTTTATTTCAGTTCTTGCGAACAGAAAGAATTGAAGATTATATGATTTGTTAAAAATCTATTTTAAGATTGGTCTTATTCTCTAATACTTTTAATATTTGAAAAACTTGTAATCATTTTATTCATTTATTTCATATAAAATCGTTTTAATCAATGCTACAAAATCTTGATTTTAATTTTGACATTAGTCAAATCGACAAATTTGTAAAATATTCGGCGCAGTCAAATTTTCCCAAAACTTGCAATTATACAAAAATAGAATTTGAGAGACAATCAAAAATCCTTGTTCCCAAAAAAAAACAAAAAAAAAAATAAAAATATCGAGATAATGTCACATAACGAGTCACATAACGAATCACCTATTCTTGCAGCTACAATACCAGCAACAGATGATATAGTTCCACACGTTGTTCTAAATACCACGATCGGTAGTCCACCACATTCTAGTAATATGTCATCACCAACAACACCAACCTCTTTAGCAAGTTTTCGTTTTGGTAGTAATTATAATTACAATGACGTTAGTAGTAATAACAGTAGTAACGATAGTTTATCATCATCATCATCATTTAAACAACAACAACAACAACAAACAGATATTATACCCTTTTATAGACGACCTAAATTTATATCAATTATTTCAACTATTGCTATAAACTTTATATTTCCTTTTATTAATGGTGTAATGTTAGGATTGGGGGAAATATGTGCAAATGAGATAGCATTTAGGATGGGATGGTTTGGACTTAGGAATGTCCCAAGTAGTGGTAATAATGGTAGAAGTGGTAGAAATGCAATCCCACTTGGACCTAAAGAAAAATATGGCTCAGGAATTGGAATAATTAAACTTAAAAAGAAAAAAGTTATGCCGGATGGTAAAGAAGTTGAGGTTGAGGAAGGTGATGGTGAAATTGTTTATGCACAAATGGCACCAGTTGGACCAATTGCTTAAATAAATATATATATATGATATATGATATATATCATATCAAATAATATAATTTATTAAAAATATTAATAGTGGCTTTTGAGTATTTTTTTATTTTCCAATATATATATATATTACTAATTTACTAATACTAATGCTAATAATAAATCAAAATATATGTAAGATTAATAAATTAACAATGTGATATATATATACAATATTATATACATTAACATAGCCTATATTGACATATTTCAAAGAAATTGCTACTTGCAGATTCCAGGGCTTTTGCATTTTTGCTAAATTATAAATAAAATAAAATTTTTTATTTTTTATATTTGAACAATTTAAAGATTTTATTTGATCAACAATAGATTTTTTTCTCGAGAATTTTTTTTTAAATTGAGAAATAAATATTAAGAAATGAATCCAATGTTATTAAATTTTAAAATCCTCTGCACCAATTACCACAATTAAAAGATACAGTCAATAATAACGGACCGGTGTCATCAACGAATGATTCTGCAAATTCTCATCAAAGAAAACAATGAATTCTACTACAAAAATTTTTACAAAGAAGGTGAAGAAAAAGAAATTTCTTTAAAAAAATCGATAATACCATAAATTGGAATTTTTGGATTTTGTAAATCATTATTCGGATATCCAACGAGCTTTGGAAACCCAAAAGGTCATTTATTATTATTATATTATATTATGAATCATGATAATGGTTTCCTTGTAAATATAACGATTCTTATTTATTTTAGCAAAAGTTTCAAAGTATTTTTTTCCAAATATGGCAAAAATAGCAAAAAATGATTCGTTGATTACTCAGTGGTTGTTAAATAAGAATATACTATGTATTTAAATGGTATGCAGGCTTCGTTGCTATATTAATTTTTTAAAAAGAATTGCTATTTAGTAAAAAAATAAAAATAAAAATAAACGTAAAAAATAAAAATTTCTACTTAACCAATATACTGCATATTCTTCAAACACTAATGGAGACAATGAATTATTTAAAGGACAGTAACCTAAAATAATTCATAAATATCATCACCATCATATTAATTAAAAATTTTAGACGAGGTTTTTTTTCATTTACCCTGCCTTCCCCAAGTTGAATTATAGCCACTTGGTGGTTTTGTTAAATCGTGCGATACTTTATCGGGTTGCCATGTGTTCCCAATTACTACCTGGACAATATTAAAATAGTGTTTAAAATGACAACAATATTATTGTTATTTATTACAGTATTATTTAATTATAAAAACACATATAAACTGTATATATGTATATAACCTTAGATAAGAACATAATTCTAGTTTTTCTTTTTTGATCATTCGGCAAAGGCCTTGCCTATCAAATAAAGATATAATTATTATTAATATATATATATATATATTATCTATTATTACACTTACACAACGGTGACCATAGAAATGTGCTTTGGACGAATAGGGTGTAAAATAGATTCCTTGGCCCAATCTTTGAGGTGTTCTTCCTTGTTTATTCAACCCAACCTATTTCAATAATATAATTTTTTAATAAATTCGATCGATGATTTTAATTTTTATTGATTTTCATTAAAAAAAGTTTTTTACTCTTTTAATATCAAATGAATTGATTAAAATGCCACAGCCAGCGCATTCGTCCATTTTACAAAGTAAACTTGTTGTATTGTCGTTAAACATTGTACAACAATCATGATCAGTACCATGATACAAAAGCTTTTCGTTTCCGGGTGACAATCCTTTACTCGAGAAACTATGATTACTTTCAATGGAATCACGATAAGATTTGTATTTTTGATAGATATTGGGTGATAGGTAAATATTGTAAATCGCCTCCACTCTTACGTCTATATTACAACCATAATCAAAAAAAATTCGACTATAACAAAAAAGATTTTTTTTTAATTAATTACCAGTTGCATTTTTTTTGACCCAGTCACTTAAAAATTTATTTTGAATTTTTAAAAATTCTTGACAACTTTTTGGTAAACATATAAGATTCGTATAATTATTTCTTGATTTGATTTTGATAGACGCTTGAAGGTTTGCCGGATTTACTAAATAATGAAAAGCAACAAGAAAATAACAACAACAACAATAATAATTAGACAAAACTCCAAAAGATAGTAAATGAATGAATGTAAAGAACTGAGATTTTTACATTTCCATAAAGTTAAGTGCGCGTTACAAAGTTCGTCATCATCGAAGGATTCATTTTGACAATCGTAAATTATGCAAACCATTTTTTTGATTTGATTTGGAAAAAAATTCAATTGATTCTTTGATCAATTATCGAAGCGTGCGAAAACAATGTCACATTGTTTGAGTTATATGTAAATTTTTTTTTTTGTAATCGGCACATTACAGACAGAATTTCCGAAATTTACATAGTCATATATTGATTGGTTATATTAATATTGTGCTATATTTATTTATAGGTAAAATTTCCAGAACTATAGGCTCAAGAACCAAATAAGGTAAAGCAAAAACACTTCATGACTTAATAATGATGATATTTGGGTGTAATAGTAACATCAAAAAATCCGCACAAGTTATTTAAATTAATTATGTAATTAATCCAACATAAGTAACTTTTCCCCATAAATTTGTCATTTTTGTGGTTTGTCAATCAATCAAAGGGGCTTGATAGAGATCATGGAACGCAAGTATAATCGACACTCAACAAGATGAAAAAAACAAATTTTCCAATGATTATTATCCATTTCCTCCTCATCATCATTATCATGCAATATTAGTGTGGCGTGACATGGAATCACCCATGACATTTTAGCAACTTTCTGGAAGCAAGCTCTTGAAATGATTGTGATTATGAATCAGATCTGAATCCAAAAAAATACCTTCTGCTTCTATAAAACGCTAATACTGCTAACAATAATAATTACGTTGGCATGTATACTAAAAGGAAAGGGGTTGCTCTAATGATGAAGAATTTGAAATCAATTAATAAATTTCGACGATTGAATAAATAATGTTATATACCACCAATAATAGGAAATTGAAAAACAAGCAAATAAAGAATTGTTTATTAATAAAAAGTTTTTTGTGAAAATGAAAATATCATTTTCTTAAAAAATAAATTTAACTAATTAAATTCTAATTAATTATTGATAAATTTAAGCAATAATACCTTTTAACTAATTATCATTATATGATTATTTAAAAAAAATAAATTTAAGCAAATTAACCACTAATTGTAATTATAATTTTACAACTCTGTTGGAAGACGATTAGATCTCCAAACTTGACCGTCGTATTCAAGAATATGAACAACTTTCTTGTCATTAAGGAATATATATACTGGTGGTGATATATGCTTTGAATTTTGCTGATGAAATTTGTCAATTATTTGAACTGTGCCAGTTGACTGTACCTTCGATGTGTCACGTGACAGAAATATATATAATTATTTAATTTGGCAGATTTTCTTTGCTTTTATTTAAGAGTTTAAAATAACCAAGAGGTATATATGACTTTAAAGTAATGAACAAACACATAGCGTGATGCTTTCTAAAATTTCTCAAGATCATGTGAAAAAGAATATAAGGTTTAAATGAAAGAAAATTTAGTTCATCCAATTAACTCATAATGATGATGATCTGACTGAAAGTTAAATATAACACTAATATTAAAATCATTAAAAAAATTTTCGTCATTCATTGTTATTGAAAGTAATTATAATTATCTTTATAAAAAATTACGAATTATTATTATGTTTATAAATAAAATTCCCGGATTGGTTCACGCATATGTAACATAATAACTTACTATTACATTATAAATACTCATTAAAAATTTTCATCTTTTTAAAAAAAAAAAAAAAATGAAGTCTCATGAAATTAGCATTACTATACCAAACGTTGAAAAGACAATTCAAAGTATTTTAATATCTGATATTTGGGAATAAATTTTCATGATAATAAAAATCAGTATTTGTTAATTTTTTATTTTATTTTTATATGAACGCGTGCGTGTTTCAGTCAACACCGGATTATTTATCAATAACGAATTCGTAGAGGCAGTTGATGGTAAAAAATTTGAAACAATTAATCCATCGACAGGAGAAGTAATTGCAAAGGTTTCAGAAGCATCAGAAAAAGATGTTGATATTGCAGTTGAAGCAGCTGTAGAAGCTTATAACAATGTCTGGTGTCACGTGGAGGGAAATGAGCGGGGTCGTTTGTTGAATAAATTGGCTGATCTTATGGAACGAGATTTGGATGAATTAGCAGCATTGGAATCTTTAGATAATGGTAAAACTTTATCTTTTGCAAAAAAAGTAGATTTATCCGGTGCAATTGATTGTTATAGATATTATGCAGGATGGTCTGATAAAATTCATGGAAAGGTTGGCTATAATATATGATTTTTTTCTTTGATCACTCTATATTATAAAATAATATTTATAATGCTTTTATTATTACAAAATAAAAAAAGGTGATAGAAACTTCAAAGAATACACATTCATATGTGCGACATGAACCGTACGGTTGTGTTGGTGCAATAACTCCTTGGAATTTTCCTTTGTTGATACAATCATGGAAATTGGCACCAGCTTTAGCATGTGGTAATTATCAATGAAAATTATGTTATTAGAGAATATATATTTATAAAATTAAAAAAAAAATTGTTTCCGTTTAGGTAACACTGTAGTTTTGAAAACGTCAGAATATACGCCATTATCAGCATTAAAAGTTGCTGAATTATTTAAAGAAGCAGGATTTCCTAAAGGTGTTGTTAATATTTTATCGGGGTACGGTACACCTACCGGTGTTGCCATGGTTAAACATGAAAAAATTGAAAAAATCACGTTTACAGGTATATATTATCATTATTTTTATTTTAAAAAAACCCCTTCCTCATTTATTCTATGTTCATTCCTCTTTCTCTTTTCAATTTTTCTCCACATAGGATCCACGAGTGTTGGAAAAAAAATTCTTAAGGCATCAGCTGACAGTAATTTGAAAAAAGTAACATTGGAATTGGGAGGTAAATCACCAAATATAATTTTGGAAGATGCAGACCTGGATGAAGCAGTGAAATGGGCAAACGCGGGAATATATTTTAATCATGGTCAATGTTGTACTGCTGGTTCTCGTGTTTATGTTCAGGACACAATCTATGATCAATTCTTGGAAAAGTTTAAAGAACATACCAACAAAATCAAAGTTGGTGACCCATTTTCTGATGATACTTATCAAGGTCCTCAAATCTCACAAGAACAATTTGATAAAATAATGTCTTATATTGAAAGTGGCAAGGAAGAAGGTGCTACTTGTTTAGTAGGTGGCGAAAGATTAGGTGATAAAGGTTATTTTATTAAACCAACAATTTTCACGGATGTGGTAAATAAGTATATTTTTTTTTTGTAATGATTTTCTTTTTTTATCAATGATTAATTTATATTCTACAATAAATTAGGATGAAAAAATGAAAATAATGCAAGAGGAAATTTTTGGACCCGTAGTTGCAATATCAAAATTTAAAACCGTTGAGGAAGCCATTGAAAAAGCTCATATAACTAAATATGGTTTGGCTGCCGCTATTTTTACCAAAGATATTTCAAAAGCAATTAAAATTTCTAAATCATTAAAAGCTGGAACTGTTTGGGGTTTGTTTTTGAGAGTTTTTTTCTCTTTTTCCATTCATTTGTGTGTATATATTATTAATATTTTCTTTTTGTTGAAAAAAAAATAGTGAATTGTTTTAATTCACTATATTCAAGCGTGTAAATATTCATTTAATTATTATTTGGTTTTTCTAATATTAACTACTAATTCACTAAAATAATATATCTATATTCAATATTTAGTCCTTTTGGTGGGTATAAAGAATCTGGCATTGGTCGTGAACTTGGAAAATATGCTTTAGATCAATATACTCAACTTAAAGCTGTCCATATTAATTTGGAAAATTAATCTTTTATATTTTTGCCTTTTTTAAAAATAAAAAAAATTAAATTAAAAACATAACGGAAATGTTATTTTCATTTTCATCTGGGCATATGACATGAATTTTTAATAATTCTTGCAAAAAGCTTTCCTGTAATCAACAACATCTGGGTGCTCATGATCGTCATAATAGGTATCTTTTGAAATTTCCATCAAAAATATTTTAACCATTTTCTTGCCCTATATAGCCAAACCTCGTTTCAATGAATTATTAAATTCACGTTACAAAAAAATTTTGCTTCACATATAAAAAACACAGTGCCAATAATAATAATATGTTATATGCATTTTTGTTTACTTTTTATTTTAAAAATAACAATAAAAAAATGTATCAATCTAATAAGAAAAAAAGAAAACAAACAGATACCTTTGGTGCCGTCAAAGGGTAAGTATTTATCAAAAGAATGGTGGTGGTGGTGGTTATCGTCACTCTAGTTCTAGTTTATATATGAATTTGACCAGCTGCGGCAGTAACCTATCTATGAAGTTTGCGAACCAATAATTTTGTGACACAATTTTATTTTTAAAGAATCCTTCCTCTCTCTACTTCCTCCTCATCACCATCGACATCAGCGACATTTTCATTGGTTGGTTATCCTGTAAAAGACTCTGATGAGAAATTAACACGCAAAGAAAAAAGTTTTTATCGTTCATCAAAAAGATACTTTCAGAAAGAAAAAATGCCCTCTTTTGAATCATTCTGCAAATTTAATTAATAAAAATCAGGACCAAAAATTTAGTTCGTTGTAGAGAGCAGTTCGATTATCGGAAGTTTGGTATAGAGACTTTGACTGTATTAGGTATTTATTTATTATTATAATGATGATACCAATTTTTGGGGTTGATTGTACAAATCGTAACTTTTTAAACGCCAATAATTATCACCTGACTTTAAAAGAAGTCCATTTCTGTAGTCCCAAACTTTATTATGACATATTTTTTGAGCTCTATTCTTTTTAGTTGGGTATTTTTATGTGATACCCAACAAAATGGTAGCGAAGCCGAAGAAAAATTAAAGATTGAACGTTTGTACTACAATGAATTTATGGATCAAACATTTTTATAAATACAGTCAAGTATTTTACCAAATTTGGAACCTCCTTGTTGATCAATTCATATATGTTACAAACGATTTAACGTGACATGTCGTGCTTTGTGAAAATAAAATTTTTTAAAAAAAATAATAATAATTATAATTGAAATAAGTACTTCCGAATATATATTTTAAGAATCCACCGGGATCCACGCAACCTTACATACTAGTTTTTTTTAATACATAGGAGAAATATTGACTAAAACATATCTCTTTTTTTTTTTTTACAAAATTGATTCTATTCTAACAGTTAGTTATGACGAATGTTAGACCACTAGCTAATACCTTATCATGTTTGTATGAAGATATTGCAAACAAATATCCAGGAAGCCAGTTGACATTGTGTGATAATGATCTAGAAAAACGA